ACCTGCAGAGCCACAGAAGGGTGGCTGATCCTCTGAAGCTAGGCTACAAGTGGTCGTGAACTGGGGTCCTCTGCAAGAGCAGGAAGTGCTTCAAGTCCAGAGTGACTTTTCCAGCCCTGTTTGTTAAAAACAAACAAACAAACAAAGATCCTTGCTGTTCTTTATAGAGACACAATCTTAGATCCCTGCCGCTGTCTTCTTTTATGCTGGTCTTGGACTTGCCTTTCAGTGAAGCAGACTAACAACAAATACATCGCCAAGGTAACCGCAGACCTATTCTGTCGGCCAAAACTCTCCCAGGGCTTCTCCTGCCTGCGGATGCCTGCAATGGCCACCTTCACCAACTCTGATTAACCAAAGATTTATCCGCTGTAGAAGCAATCCGGAGACATTGCTAAGGACAGGAAACGAGTTGTTCAAAGAAAGTCCACTAAAATTTTCATAAAGTTAAATTGCTATGGGAAGAATGTAGAGAAAAATTTGAAATCTTATCCCTTCTAATCAATCAGAAATAACTGTTTTAATGATTAACAAAAGATAAACTTAAAAATAGTTTCAGTTTTCGTCCATGTGTGTTTTGAGTTTCTTATTAACAACAGTTCAGACTTTGGGGACAAGCTACTAGGATTCAAACTCATAGCGAGCTGCTTAATGTCTACGAACTATTATTATGGATAATAACCACCTGTACCTCATCTGGTTCTTGTAGTCATGAAATAGATTTGGGACAAAGTAAGTAATGAGGAAAAGCTATATTTGCATGCAAAATGTTTAAGACAAACTCTAAGTTAGACATGCTGACTGCCTGCCCTACAGAATCTCAAACCACTGATACCATCTGATCCACAGTCTTTTGGGGTTTTTGTTTGTTTAGGGAAAGTTGTTTGTCTTTGTTTTTTTTGTTTTTATTTGTTTTGTTTTGGGTTTTTGTTTTTTTTTGTTTTTGTTTTTGTTTTTTTTGAGACAGGGTTTCTCTATGTAGCCTGGATATCCTGGAATTCACTCTGTAGATCTAACAGGTCTTGAAGTCAGAGATCTGAGTTCTCTGACACCTGAGGGCTAGGATTAAAGGCATGTGTCACTGCTGCCCTGCCATGACCTCCTCCTCCTCCTTTTCCTCCTTCTCTTCTTCTTCCTCAGCAGTTTCTTTTTACGTTTTTCAGCAGTTTCCTTTTTTTTTTAATGTTTATATTAATTCTTTTTAAGCTTCTTGCTGAGCCCTGGCTGTGGTAGGGCCAGGGACGCAGACATAGCCCTCCACCATAGTTCATGTCCTGACATCACCATGGCCCCAGGTGGCAGCACAGGCCACCCAGATCTGTATGGCCCCCGCAGCAGCTTGATTCTTAAAGACTCATATGACCTCACCTGTCAGCCCAGACTACAGGCCACAACAGGGCCATGGACCCAGACATGTCCCTTGGCAGCAGCCCAAGCCCAGACATCACCATGGTCCACCCACACTGGACCATTCCTTACCACAATAGCCTTTCCAGATCTGTCTCTCTCCCTAGCACATGAACCCTCCTGCCTCAATCTCCCATTTTCCCACCCTGTACCCCTTCACCATGATGATGCCCAACCACCCAGTGCCATGGGCTCAGGGTTCATTTGCACTTGCCCAGGCCAAGTGGCTTTGGGTGGAGGTAATAGCCTTTTTTATGCATATGCTCAAACCAAATCTGGGGAATGACTTGCTGATTGGTGGCTCATTTAAGAACGAGCTACCCTCAGCTACAGATTGAATTTAGGCCAATCTGAGCATGAAACTCTGCCTCAAAACAAATGCATACATTAGGAGTGACGGCACACACCTTTAATCCAGGATTCAGAAGACAGAGGCAGGTGGATCTCTGTGAGTTCGAGACCAGCCTGGTCTACAGAGTCTAAACAGTGAGTTCCAAGACAGCCAGAGCTATAAATAGAGAGCTTGTTTCAAAAAACAAAACAAAGCAAAAACCAAATAGATCATATATTTGCTATCTGTCTGTGTAGGACCCTCTCTGTGTGAATAAACACCTAGAACTCAGATCTCCCATTCTGACTAATTGGTTTAATGCTGCTAGAGACTGAGAAATAAAAGAAATCAGAGGGCTGGAGAGATGCCTCTGTGGTTAAGAGCACTGGCTGCGCTTCCAAATGTCCTGAGTTCAATTCCCAACAACCACACGGTGGCTCACAACCATCAGTAATGAGATACAGTGCTCTTTTCTTGCCCACAGGCAAACATGCAGTCAGAACACTGTATACATAATAAATAAATAAAATTTTTAAAACAAAACAATAAAAAGAAATCAGATTTGACTATCTTCTATTGGGAGAAAGTGGTCATTTTCAATATCCTGCCAAATTCTAAACTGAAACTCAGGGTATCTTTTCTAGGACAACAATCATCCTCTGCTGCATGTTTTTACTTTGTTCTTAAGATGATGTCTTAGTTAGGGTTTCTACTGCTGTGAAGAGACACCATAACCATGGCAACCCTTATAAAGGAAAACATTTAATAGGGCTTGCTTACAGTTTCAGAGGTTTGGTCCATTATCATCATGGCAGGACATGAAGGCTTACAGGCAGACATGGTGCTGCTGAAGGAGCTTAGAGTTCTACATCGTGATCTGGAGAAAACAGGAAGTGAACTGTGTTCCACACTGGGCACAGCTTGAGCATAGGAGACCTCAAAGCACACCCCCACAATGACCCACTTCCTCCAACAAGGACACACCTCCTCCAAATATTGCCACTCCCTTTAGAGACCATTTCCTTTGAAAACACCACAGCATCTACTAAAAATTCTGAGACAGGCTGATTGTCTCACAGGGCTAACCAATGGAAACTCACCTGCTCTTAGTGACCACAGAGTTCTTCACATACAGCCTCATATGGATTTCTGTCTGTTTAACTCCAAGGCTTCCCTGAAATACTGCTCTGCTTAACCTGTTCACTTGACATCCAATTAACCAATTAATTTAGATGACAGCTCTAATCCCAACATTAAGAAATAAAAATAATGGCAGACTTTCTTTCTCCTACATACCCATTGGAAAATTAATCAAAACAAGTTTTTGTTGTCAGGCTCCCCTCTATTGTAGCTGAATTTGCATGAAACCCATGTGACTCATTCCAAAGGTCTGACATCACTTAGATATTATTGCTTCAGTAAAAGTTAAGAGAGACAATCTGGTAGCGGGTGAAATAGAAAATTATGGAGAAGTTAACTGACAATTACCTTGCTAAATGACAGATTACCTTTCAAGCTATACAGTCATGTTTGTAATAAACATTATGATTTGTATTGAAAATTAACCACAATATCCTTCTACAAGCTAGTAAGAGTTATTATGATTATGAAGTAAAACGCTTTCCCATGTATTTGTTTTGTATAAAACTTCCCTTCCTCTGTATAAGACCTTTCCTTTTTAGAAAGGCCTCATGTATCCCAAGCTAGCCTGGAACTCATTACAAAGCCAAAAACGACCTTGAACTTCTGATCCTCCTAATTCTACCTCCACAGTGCTGGGACTGCGGGTGTACTCCACGACACAGACTTCATGTGGTTCTGGGGAAAACTCAGGGCTCTGTGCACGCAAGGCAAACATTCGATCAACTGAGCTACATCCCCAGACCCTGTATCAAGTTTTTGTTTCATTGGTTGCTTAATATTTGAACATAATTCCTTTTTGATAAAATCTCTACTTTGAGGAAGAACTAGAAGTTATGAAAACCAAACAATTTCACAAAAACAAAGCTGTAATAACGCTAACAAAACAAATTTTAAAAACTCTTCTGAATATGGGGGATGGCTAACCTTTAATCCCAGCACTCAGGCAGAGTCTGAGGCCAGCCTGGTGTGCCAAGTGAGTTCCAGGACAGTCAGGTCAACACGAAGAAACCCAGGCTCGAAAAACCAAAACCACTCTTCTGAGATGCTGAACAAGGTTCTGATGCCCTTCCCAAATAGTATATAAAAGGCAGATTCAGCATCCCCACTCCCTGTGTGTTTATCACAGAAGTGGACTTGACTTAAACTGCCATTTTTCCTGCTCTGAGGTCCTCAATTACTTTTGCTACGGAAGTAGAGTTACTGGATAGAAATGCCACTCACAATGTCAAACTGGAAGTCATGAAAATCATTTCAGTCAGAACAGTTGGTGCAAATAACCTCCACAGCAACGCTTTCCCTGTCTTCCCTGGAGGAACAAGCTCTTGCCCTCCCAAGGACAAGCACACATGGACACTTTTCTCTCATATCCTGGTGGGATCTGCCTCCTACCTCCTCCTAAGAATGCAAGCCAGCGACATCTTTGTTTTCAGACTCAATCCTGGGGCCTACAAGGCACACCTCCTAGCATCGCTAGGCTCCCAGAAGAACCATCACCATTGCACACCCTTAACTGCACTCTAAGCATCTTAACAGAGTCAACCATCCACGGACTTCTGAACGTGAGGGTTACATATCAGCTCAACCAGCATCAACATTCTAAAGAGATCACATTCATGTTTGCATATTTTAAAACGATCTTTAAAGTGGATTAAAATAAGTATTTCCTTTAAGGCCTTGGGAGGTTTAGTTTTGAGATTTTTGTGTGTTTGTTCTATGATCTAAGCCATCACGATAGGTCATTTCAAGATTTCAACCCAACATGATTTTGTCAAGACCTTCTGGGGTTGTATTCCAAAGCTTTCTCATGGCATCTATTTAGCTTTTTGTTGCTATTGTTTTCGTTCTTTTGTTGTTGTTTTGTGGTTGGTAGATGATTGGTTGGTGTGGTTTTTGTTATATAGAAAAATGCTACTTATCTGTGTGCAAGTGAATGAAATATCCAAGAAATTTCTTTTCGTCTTCTGAGGGTTTCTTTCTGTGTGTTTCTATGGACCCATTAGTCATCTTTGCTCAGTAGTGGTTTGTTTCTATTGAATGCTTTCTATAAACACTGCAGTTGGCCTCCCATAAAACCCTACTTTGTCAGACTACAGATGGATTCCAGGCCACTGTCAGCAGCCAAGGACACCCTCCTCTCATTCCTGACCACCACTGGTGACTTTATCTCTCTAAGAATTCCCATAAACAATCCCAGGGCAAAACCAAAGCCATAGATTGACCATGAGTGGATAAAATCAACCTTTCTCGTAGTGAATTCCTGTAATGAAGGTCTGTTCTGCTTGGTACCAGATGGAAGGGGACTTTCCCGATTGCTCATGTTTTCTCATTCTGTCCTCCTGGGTGTTGGCTGCTTCTCTCCTTGCTGTAACATGATACCTGACAAAGGCAAGCAACTAAGGAAGAGTTTATTTTGGTTCGCAGCATAAGAGCATGGTCTGTCATGGTAGGGAAGGCATTGAGGCAGGAGCATGAGGCATCTGGTCACATTGCACACCCAGACAGGAAGTTGAGAGACTGAAAGCTGGTACTGGCTACCCTCGCTTGTTGTTCAGTCTGGGACTCCAGCCAGTAGGATGGTGCTACCCACATGCTGGGTCAGGTGACCCTCCTCTGTTAGATCTTTTGGAACCACTCATACACAAGCTCAGAGGTGAGTTTCCATGGTGACACTATGTCCTGTCTAATGGACAATCACGATTGACTGTCAGACTTCGGGTGGACACAGAGATGCTTGCCAGTGGCTTCTAAGCTTCCCAGCTTCACAGTCACCTTTGAACAAAAGCGGAAGTCAGAAAATTTTGTCCTTTGTGAACGAGGTTCAACCACACCCCCCCTCATTTGGAGAGTTACCCATAAGCTCCAAGAAACTGATATCTTCTTGCTCTTTCCCACTTTGCCCTTATTACACCACACACACACACACACACACACACACACACACACACATGTATGCACACATTTTCCAAAAAAACTTCAAAAACCTATTCACTTCTTCATTCATACATTTAACTAATAGTTACTGGATGAGTCCACCTGTTTAAATTTCTGATTAAATTTGTTCTTTGACGTTTTCAAGGATGCACACAGCGGCTTCTGCGAACTCTCAATCCCTCACCTCCACTGCTTTCCTCCCACTCCTGGGAACTTCTCTCTGCAAGCTCCTTCTCATATTCATGTGTTTTTCACAGTTGCGTTTTTCCAAGAAAAACTAGAAACACACAGAGAAACCATACACAATTTGCATTCTGGACAACATAGTAAGAGAAATATAACCTGTGAGGATGCGATGTGCCAAGGAGAAACAGGGCACAGAGAAGCATGAAGAGGGGCAGTGACACCATTAAAGCCATGGGGCAGAGAAGGAATTTATCGAGAAGATAAAGTCTGAGGACAAAGAAAGTGAAGAATGAAGAAATTAACAGCACAGATCGTGCGAAGGGAAAAGTCACTGGGAACAAAGGCTCTGAGATGAGGTGGAGCACAGGGGGCATATTTGAGGAGGCAGAGTCACACGCAGAACATGCCACCTCCCCACAGCACTCACTGGGTGCCAAGGGAGTCTTCAGCAGGCATGACTCAGAGGGAGGGAGTGTCAGGCGGGGAGGGCAGTACCACCTGCCTGGGCTTTCCCAGGCCCGCTCTGTGTACATCTTGATCACATTTCGGTCGCACCGGAAAATACTTTGACCCAAGAGTAAATGTTTTGTCCCCCACTGCACAAATTACTCTTTGTTACTTTTGCATCTTTTTCTGTTTCTTCTCTTCCTCATGATCAACTAACAGTTTCCTTAAAATACTTAGGTTAAGGGACTCTGTCCCCACAGTCATGGGTCCTAGGGTGCTGACTCACACAGAAGAACCTATGGGGAACTGGTGAGTGAGGCACCAGCTCACTGCGGTGGACTATGTCGTTCTCAAAGATTGGTGTCCTCGCCCGTGCTCAGGGCTGCGTCTGCCTGCCGGGTGCCGACTGTTTATTAACAGTGTTGCTGCCTCCTCTGAGCTCTGCCAGCTCTCCCTCTGCTGACTTTACCTCTCCACCCACCTTTCCATTAGCAGCCCATAGCCTACAGTGCTTCCTTCTCACTTCCTAAGCTGCTGCATTTGGCTGCTGGTCCAAAAAGTGAGGGAATCCAGAAACTTCAAGACCCAGCTATGACGTGTCTGACGCTCATTCCTTGGCCTCTGGGGCATAGGACACAGCTCCTTCGCCCGGACTGAGAGGAAGGATAATTCTGTTAACTTCTCCACCTTCAGGGTGATGAACTCTGTTCTCAGTTGGCTGCTGAACTCTGACGGCATCACCCCTCCCTCCCACTCCCAGCCACACTCAGTTCCATGTATATCCTGGATACTTAAATCTCTCAGCCATCAGCCAGAGTGCTCCACAACCTGACTCACACCTTCTCTGTTTGGCTGCAGGGTTGCTGAGGAAACACACATACACAGATCACATGTACATGCATGTGATTACATTCACATACGTGCGCGCGTATGTGAGAAGAGAAGAAGAAGAGAAGAGAAGAGAGAGAAGAAACACACATCACAGACCAGCTTTTTCTAACTAACCTATCATTTCACTAACGATGGGTACTCAAAGCATTTTCCTTCATAATACTCATTTTTCACTTATAATTAATTACTTCTGGTCTGCAGGCTAGGTCCAACGAATTTTTATCACTCTTCCCCTATGAAACTAACTAGGGCTGAGTCGCTGTCTTACGGAACTAACAGTCTTCAGACAGCGGGATGGGAGAGCAGCTGACCTGGGTCAGATCACAGCGATTGCTGCTCCACACAGGGAGTATGATTCGCTGTGGATTCGGGAGTCCTAATGAGAGATTGGGGATGATAGAGAGGGTCCGGCTTGGGTAGCTAGGTGACAAGGCCACCACTCACTCTAACAAGCAAATGAAGAATGAGCACATCCTTCTCTGTCGGTGCGCTGAGGTGACAGCTCTGCCACATCATCATGGTTGTTTGAGGTTCCCAGGCAATATCCACATGTGTAGTAATGGCTCGTGTTTGAAGCTTAGAAAGAAAGACTGTGGCCGATCTGCCCACTAGAAATGGCTGCAGATTATGCCTGGTGTCAGGGAAGAAGAAGGAAATGAAAACGCACCTCAAAAGACACATCATTGTATGAACAGGCAGGGAAGGGCTAAGAAAGAGCAGGCAAGATGGCTCAGAGAGTAAAGATGTGGCTGCCGAGCCTGGGGACCCCAGTTCTCCCAGGAACCCACACGCCATCCCCCGACTCCATATGCGTGTCCTCTACTTCCAGCCTTGGCACACGCACCTCCGCCAACACACACAATGACAAAATAAGTGTAAAATCATGTTTAATAAGTAAAAGGGGGGAGAGAATTAGAGAAAGAGAGATTAATTGACCATTCCTTCCCCCACAAATATAAATCAGAATTCTGTGGGTAAGCCTACTGACCACAACAACTTTGTGCCTTACATGATTTTCTGGGGAAGTATTTTCTTACAACAACAGCCAAGTTGGGCTTTTAAAGTCTCAAAGATTAACTCTAATAATTAGAAGGCTTGTCAATGGAATTACATGGCCAGATTAGCTATTTGACCTTTAGCTAAAAGACGTCAATAATAAAAAGAGACCAAGTGGTGGGAAGAGGAGGCAGTGACGGTAGGGAGGAGATACACTAATTTTTAATTGACCTTTAAAATGTTTATTTTAGGTGATATTAGGAGTGAACCCAAAACTAATCACTTAGAAAGTACCATCATCCCCACTGTGGAAAACAGGCGAATTTTAATGCTTGTGTGTGTGTGTGTGTGTGTGTGTGTGTGTGTGGTTGAATGCTTTGCCTGTGTGTATACATGTGCACCATGTGTGTGCCTGGTATCCAGAGAGATCAAAAGAGGGAGATGAACCCCCAGGAATTGGCGTGACAAATGGTTGTGATCTACCATGTATGTGCTGGGAACCAAACCTGGCTCTTCTGCAAAAGCAACAAGCAGTCTTAACCACTGAGTCACTTCTCCAGGCCAATTTCAACAGATTTGAATATAGTTATTGGAACAAAATATGTTTTGGGCTAATGAACTTAAGCATGTAAAGAAAATGAGTGTACCATAATCTAAATTACTTTAGATAGGGAGGAGCCTAGGAGTTAAAATTTTCACATCTTGTCAACATTTCCATTATCCCACAGTCATCTTACTGCTTCATTGGAAAGGACCGCACTTAGCTTTATATGCAGAGATTTATTAAATAAGTTTAACATCATCCAGGTGTGAAGAAATCAGGGGCTAAAGAGGTAGATATGAATTATCTGGTTCTCAGAAAGTCCCCTCTCAGAATTGGCAAAGTGATGACATCACACGGTACAGGTAGGACTGGCACCTCTCAGGTCCTGGGATAGAACCTTATAGAGGAATGCTGCCTGAAGCCTTACTTTGACAGTCCCATAGGCTGTTGAATAATTCAACAGAAATAAAATCTGCATTCACTAGTCCTTACACTGAAGCTACAATTATCTTCATTAGGAAACAGTTCCTGCGGTCTTGATAATGAAGCGTAAATACATGTCTACAGGGCTCACAGGCAAGAGCGCTCTTCGGTAGAGCTGAGAGGAAGCTCCCTGGGAAGGTCGGCAGACATTTTGGTAAGTCCTGCTGTCTCTGATTAGTTCTTCCAGTATTGTGAAGCATGGGTATTACCGCAGGTTATGGAGTGCCCACAGCTAGCTCAAGAGGAAGGCATAGAAACTGAAAGACACTCTTCTCTCAACATTTACCTGTGTAACCGGGCAGAGGGGTCCACTCCACTGCCGAGGACAGTGAGCAGAAACTCCTCTGTCACCAGCTCATCTACCGACCACCATATGCAAAACAGGGTAAGTCGGCCAGTGACCAAACTCTATAAGCAAGAGGATGTGCTTCTCAGCTCATAGGGCGTCTTTGCAGACTCGGGAGAAGGGGCTGACAATAACATAGTTAAGGATGGTATTGCACTGTGAAAAGTGTCATTTTGAAACTAAGGGGCAAAGAGTAGGGGATCCTCAGAGAAAAGAGGGAGCCTCTTGTGACTATAGCAGTAACTCGGCTGCTTGAGCTAAATTTAGCGGCTCCAGTTTCCCATCAGCCCTCTGCGCATAGAGGATCTTCCACTACTGCGATATCAACCAGAAATAAACAGAAGTGTTAATAAGATGTGAAAATTAAAACTTACAAAGCCCCCATCGGCAAAAGATTATGGCAAACACCTTTCTTTAGATGCTGTACTGTGTTAGTTCAAAATATATTTGTGCAGATAATTAATGTACATATATTCAGATTTACCTGAGTGTTTTCCATAATACTTTACTTCTTATGTGCCAAAGGGGATTTTTCTAACCTGTGCTGACTTCAGTGTCTGGACACCCATATTCAGTTTCTGCTTTTCAAGAATTCATTTAACCAGACCTGGTAACACACTTGTAATCACAGAACTGGACAGGGAGAATGGGGCAAGAGGATCTCAAGTCTGAGATGGGCCTGGGTTACAAGTGAGACTATGTCGAAAAATAATAGTAATTAGAATAACAATATAGCAATAGAGTTCAGTTTAACATTTACTCACTTACTCTTTCAATAATATTGTATTAATTTTAACAGCTATCACTGAGTCCTGAAGTGCTGGCTACTGCAGAAAGATTCATAAACACTTCGTGATTTTATTCCTACAGCAGCTCACTGTATTGGATGTTACTAACCGAGTTCAGCAGGACAAAGACCTGTCTCTGTTGCCCTGCTATGTGAGCCTTCTACGGCCTTCTAGGTCTCCTCGCTGCGCCAGAAAAGTTGCAAACCTGCTGGAAAGGACCACAGAGATGAGTGAGAAGCCCTTAGAAGGACACTGCTGAAGCCTCGCTCCCAACAGCAGGCCCCACGCCGCGTGTCCCGCGTGTCTCCCCGTCGCCACCTGCGCCCATTCCTGCACCGCCAGCCGGTTTCCACAGCAGCCTTGCGATCGTGGGTTCCGAGTCCCGCTCCTTAGACTCTGTGTCCTGGGGTCTGGACATGCTGCTAGAAAGTTCTCTACTCGAGCTGATCCCAGAGGAAGGGTTGAGGGGGAGATCAGCCAGGAGACACGACGGGGCGGGGCCAGCCACTCAAGGTCCCCAGCGCGGGACGTCACCGCCCCAGGTGCGGAGGGCGGGAACTGGCTCGCACCTCCCCGCGGAGCGCATTCCCCACCTCCAGGCTCGCGGGCCGGCCCCCGGCTACCCTTTCTGACCCGGCCACACCTGGAACCGCACCCCGGGCAGGGCTGAGGCGGAGAGGGGCGGCCTCGGGTGGGACCTGGTCTGGAGGATCCGCAGGGCGCCGGCGAGGTCCGGAGGCGAGGGTGCGGCGGAGCGAGGCGATGGCGCGGAGCCCGGGCGGCCAGTGCGCCCTGCTGCTGCTGTTGCTGGTAAGTACAGTGACCCCCGCCCCCGGCGCCCCAGCCAGGAACGCACCCGGTGTCCCCGCGGTGGCACAGCATTGGGCCCGACCTGCGGCGTCCCCGAGGTGGGACAGCACTGGGCCCGACCTCCGGCGACCCCGCGGTGGGACAGCACTGGGCCCGACCTGCGGCGAGCAGAGTGGGCAGAATTCACACTCAATCACTCTCTCTTTGACCGTTCCATTCAGGCCCTAGTGACCTATCTAACTGTGATCTGTGGGTGCTTTGAGCCCAAGGGCAGGGAAATCCCTTCCTGGGGGCTCGGGACTTGGTTTGTGGATTGGGAAACATGGAGGCAGTGGGAAGCCTCATGCGCACCCTCTTTCAAGTTTGCTAAAGTTCCCGCAGTTTCCCAGCTCCTGCAGCTAGGAACTCCGTGAACCGGGAAACCAGGAAACACCTGAGTTCCTAGAGTGAAAAACGGCAACTAAAAATACCTGCTTTAAAAGTGGTGTCTTCAAAGCTTAAAGTTTCCAGGAGCTTTGGTCACTCGCCTGATCGGTTAGTACTTTCCCGGTATTAACATGAACATATTTAATAGCTTTTGTAATTTAGAGGGAAATCGAAGCCAACTCCATCAAAGTGGTTTTTCAGAAACGACTCTTTTAAAGAAAAGGGATTTCCGCACTAGAGGCAGGGCTCTAACCCAAGGTCTAGATTTCTCTTACGTTTGGTTTCTATGATCAACTTGGATTTTAAATGGCTGAGTTCGTTCGTTTGTTTGTTTGTTTGCTAACAAAATTGCATGTAATTTAGGGATGTCTGTGACTTTCATTAATTTGCCCACTGGGTTTTGATCAAGTGTGGGATCGTATCGCCGAGACTTCACAAACAGGTTCGGAGAGATTAGATACAAAAATCACACCTCGTTTTCCTACATCATTATTGTGATTTAAAAAGCAAGTGTTTTCACCCTATTGGAAATTCTTGCCTCTGAACAATTAATTTAAAGTTGTGGTGGATGGGAGGGATAAAGAGAGATTATGATGAGAGGGGGCGGAGGGAGAAAATAATTTTTTTAAAAAGGCAAACCAGAAAAAAAGATGAGTAAATTCAGTCCAAAGATTTCGACAAGCTCACTTTCCGCCGACACCTTGGTAACCAGGAACTGTTGGTACAGTCTGTTTTGGTTTTGCTTTGCCCATGCTGTTGAGGTCATTTTTCGGGAGATTTTTCTATGACATAATGTTGGGCTTTGTTTTGGCCTGAGGAGTAACTTTATCCCTCAAAGACCAAGCCAACAGCCGTTGGCTCACCTGGAATGTTCGATACAAATTATCTCCTTATAAGAAAAAAAACTTCATTTAATTTCCACATGGTATAGTAAGCACCAGTTCATAGCCTCCCAGAGGAACAGGTGAGGTCAAGGTACCCATCCTAGCATTTTATATAGGTTTTTACTTCCGTAGACGTGATGGGCTACTCCTTTGGAAAGGGACAGAATCTTCCGGCTAGTCTGTGTATTTCTAGAGTGCTTTCTGTGATATAAATACGAAGGGGTGTGGTGACCCAAGAAGCGTAGGCAAATATATATATATATATATATATATATATATATATATATATATATATATTTGTTGTTTATATATATAAACAAACATTATATATATATATATACATACATACAAACAAACAGAAAAGAAAGAACAGGAGGCATGCCAGCATTCTGCTCTCAGTTTGTACGACGTACAACGTTGGCTTGGCCATGCTTTGGTAAGGGGTGGAAAGGGGTCCTTCATAGCAGGGAATGTAAGTTGTAGTCAGTTTGGTCAGTTCAGCCGCGTGTGATAGCATTTACTCTAGCCTGCTGGTGGTGGGGGGGGGGGATTAGAACTAAAGAGAGCTCAGCTGAATAAATGTTTGCCCTGCAAGCAAGAGGTCCTGAGTTCGATTCCCACAATCCATTCCAAAAAACACCTAGTGTAGAGTGTTCCCTTATAATCCCAGTGCTGAGGAGGCAGAGACAGGCATACTCCCTGGGACTTGGTGGTTGACTGGCCTAGCCAGCTCGGCAAGTTCCAGGTTTAATGAAAGACCCTGTCCCCAAAGACAAAGTGGTTCCTAAGAAACATGACCCATGAGGTTAACCCCATGCGCACACAAGTGTACACACACACACACACACACACACACACACACACAGAGAGATATCAACACATGAGCACACGCACAGGCACACACAAAAGGGATTAATTTTAGAACATTATAGTTTATGGAATTGTTATTTTTCTATATGGAAAAAAGGATTGCAGAAATCTACACCCATTTGAGCTGTGGGAATTTCAAAGTCACAGGCCCAGCCATGCAGGTAGCTGTCTCAGCTGGGGTCGGGGGCCATACTGTCGCTCCCACAATCTAGCGAACACTGTTAGTGGACCGCGTAAGAAGCTTCATGTCTGTGTCTTGCCTCCGGCCACCCACGGATTCATCAGAGGCTGAATAAGACTGCTACAAAACCTCAGGTCATCGCATCTGTGCACCCGGAGAGGAGCAGCAGGCAGCCTCCCTCAGTGCCATGGGAGTACGGGTCCTCACCTAAAGTGACCCAAGATCCTAGGCTTTCAGAGCATTTCAGCCTGGAGTTTTGGATTGGAGAAGCTTTGTCAGTAAAGTCTGCCCGTGTATTGGTTCTGTAAAGAAACTGAAATCTGATACACATCTGGTCCCAAGCATTTCAGTTAAGGGTGCTCAACTATGAGTGCCCAGGCCCAGATGTTGAGCACTGAGCTGTCTCTGCAGAGCCTGCAGCGGTCTCTGGCTTGCTCCTTCAGTAGCACCCACGAAGTAAGGGTTGACTGTCAGCCACATTTAGGCCAAATCTGTCAAAATGACAAAGAGAGTTTCTGAATAAAACCCAAGAGACTTCCAGTGTTCTTCATCCAGGTCCCTTCACTGTGAAGCTATCCACAGACAGAACTCAGGTGGTGTCTGGAAATGCAGGATCATATGTGCACATGTGTTCCCATGCGGGGACTTATGTACATGTGTATTCCCATGCAAGGACTTATGTGCATGTGTATTCCCAAATGTGAGGACTTATGTACACATGTGTTTCCATGAGGGAGCCTATGTACACGTGTATTCCCAAATGCAGGGATTTATGTACACGCGTATTCCCATATGGGGACTTATGTACATGTGTATTCCCAAATGTGGGGATTTATGTGCATGTGTATCCCCACGTGGGGACTTATGTGCACGTGTATTCCCAAATGTGGGAACTTATGTGCACGTGTATTCCCATGTGGGGACTTATGTACACATGTATTTCCATTTGGGGACTTATGTACACGTTTATTCCCAAATGCGGGAACTTACGTGCACATATATTCCCATGCGGGAATTTACGCACATATGTATTCTCTAGCTGAGATTTCGCATTTGTTTAAGTTGTGGTGATGTGTCCACATTAGCAGAACTATGGCATCTTCACAATGTGGTTCAACATTTTTTTAAAAGATTTATTTATTATGTACAGTGTTCAGCCTCCATGTATGCCTGCCGGCCAGAAGAGGGCACCGGATCTCATTACAGATGGTTGTGAGCCACCATGTGGGTTGCTGGAAATCGAACTCAGGACTTCCGGAAGAGCAGTCAGTGCTCTTAACCTCTGAGCCATCTCTCCAGCCCCCTCAACATTTTACTATATTGGTTATTTCAAGATACCATTTATTTTAAGTTTCACTAATAAATTCTAGCATACTCTTTAAACTCACGTTTCAGTAGTAAAGTATGTGAAGTTACTATAACCTTTTTAGTTTATAAATTCTGAAGTAATTTTAATATACTTGGGCTTATAATGCAGTATGTTGTATACATTTAAAGCCATTCTAAGAGGGCCGGTAGCAGTGGAGAAGGGGGTTTCAACGGGTGCCCATGTTCTGTGAGCTGAGGGATTTAAAGGTATATTGGTTCTCCAGGCCTTTAAGAAAGTACTAAAACTGGGTGGCCTGAAACAGCAAATGTTTCCTATCTCCCAGTCCTAGAGCTGGGAGGCCCAGCATCAAGGTGAGTAGGACCCTGGTCCCTGCGTCCCCTCCATGCCTCTTTCCAGCATTTGACAGCTGGTGGGCTGTCTTTGACCCTCCCCCTCTGCAGCTTACCACTCTAGCCTCCCCTCTTCACACACAGTTACTCTGTACCCCTCTGTGTGTCTGTGCCCAGGTTTTGTGTTCTGCTTAGTGAGGTCCAGCCTCAGGGGCTCAGCTAAATCTGCACAGACCCTTGTTTGCAAGTCATTAACATCTCAACACCTTATTTTAGGGTACCCAATTTAACAGATGGGCTCCACAAATTGCCAGCAATTAGATAATTATGCAAGCTATGCAACTAAATTGCCTAGATTTAAGAATAAAGTACAAATTGCAGGGTCAACATTGATGCGCATAGGAATGATCAGATATCTGTGAATTTTGAAAAGGACAGCTCATGTGTTTTGCTTTCTAAAAATGAGTTAATAGGGAAATGCCAACAGTTTTCCTAATTATAGATTTCAGTCAACAGACTTTACCTGAAAAATGAGGCTGTGCCAGTCTAAATTCTCCCTTATGGTGAGGAACTCTGAAGCTAAACTCAAGTGTCTAAGGCTGAGGTCCAGAAAGATGAATTTGCAGACACTCCAGTTGACCCTAGTGTAAGGGTGAGAATTACTGGTC